TTGGTTTACCTTACCCACTCTAGAAAAGAAAATATACATCTAATGTATTATTTACCAAATTTCCTGTTCCTCCCCAGTTGTCTGTGTAACTATCTATATTTCATTAAAATAGTAACTAAAATATTTAGCTTTTGCAATCATTAGGACACTTTGTAAGACTATCTGAAGTTAATTTTAATGTATTTTGACCGTAATAGTATTTCTCAAACAAGATGTAACAATATAACATACACGTAGTTTTCAATTTGTTTCTTATCTTCGATTGAAGCTTGTCTCAGTTGAGAAAGCTTTTCTTCCAATGACACCAAAGCCTTTTCAAGACGTAAACAGTTACTGCGTTGTTCATTTAATTTAGAAACCAGTTCACTGTTTCTGGATTTTTCTGCTTCTAGGGATGAACGCAGGTCATCAGCAAGTGCCTTCTCCTGCTTGGCTCGGAACTCAAGAAGTTCCTCTGTGTGATCAAGAGGTTCGTGTATATATGAAAACATCAATTACTGTATTCTTTTTAACAAAAAATATCTCAAGGCTTTGAATGCTGTTTAATATTTATGGGTTTCATCAATATATTATTAAATAACAAATAAATAGAAACTGAGTTTTCTTCTGTAACAACAATATTCATTTCTTATTTGTTTCAATTGAAACTGAGATTTTCAAAAACTTCAACTTAATCCAACAAATACATTATAAAGTTACTTTTTTGATGAGCCTTGAATTAGCAAAACTGCAGTTCACAGTAGAGGATGTGGTGTATTACAGAATACATTAGGCCTCTACGGCACAGATTACATTTTTGATTTTACCTTTGGTGAAAAGAAAGTAAGTCTGCAATACATTTATTAACCCTTTTGTGAGGGGAACTCCATTAAACGCTTTTCTGTACAAGTCACTGTCTTACATTCAAAGTTTAATTAAACACCTTTACTATCAATGTATGCGAATGAAATTAATATTATAAGGTATGTTATGATTTGATATTTCATTTCATCCTGGTCTTTTATTTGAAAATTAACCTTTAAAAACTACTTAAACCTTCAGATGTGTTGACACGTGACAACGAGCTATGAAAATTCTCTACTTTGGTTCTATATATCTTCAATAATACAATGTTAGTTGAGTACAGGTACGTCTAAACCTTTTGAGCCATTCATTTCAAAGTTCTTTGAATGAATACAGTTGAAATAAGTAATACATTTTTTCAACTTGACAGAAGCCACATACACCTTCAACAGATTTGTTTGTTTTATTTACACATGTGTATAGTCATTAGAAAGAGCTCATTTTACAATGTAAGGTAACAAGTTATTTTTAAATTGACACGCAATGGTCTTCACAGATTACATGAAATTGACTCTAGTATTGTTGCCAGCTTGATCGGGTTATAGTGCTTACGGTTGTTTCTTACCTAAATATGTTATAATCAGAGATACAGTTTAAATTGTACTTAGCTCTTACTATTATATTTTAGTTAATTACATATTAGTTACATATTAAAACGTGTAATTTAAAAAGTTTAAACATATTTTAAATATACTTTGGGTCTGTTCTCAAGGCTTACAATATTACATGCCGAACAAAACTTTTGCAAAAGGATTACGCATATCTCCCAGAGAAATTGTAATATGCCTCGAGGGCACCGTTGACTTGTGTCAAAATGAATAATAAGTGGTAAAGGACAAGAAATGAAAATAAAACATTAAAAATTAACAAAGGTATGTATTTTTTTTTCTACTTCCTAATTTTAATTATTTAATTGCATAGTATGTTGATGACAATAGCTAGTTAGTGACATGGTAGAGAAATTGAAAAATAAAAAAACATTTATCTTAAAAAAATTTTATACCATTTTAGGAGGTTCTAGAGATTATGCAAATAAAAAATGAAAATTATAAGATGAAGAAAAGTATTTTTATACTTAAAATGAAAACCACCTCGCACTTGATTTAATAGTTTGAATGTAAGTAACTACAATGGAAAAATAATATATTTTAGTCAAATTAATTATAATAACATCATTATTTGCTTAGAAGATACTCTTGATCTTTGACAAAATCTTACGAATTTTTGAGAGGATACGTTAAGAAATCTCAGAGTTACTGCATGTATTGTTGTACAAGTGAAACTCGCAAATCGGTTTCCACAAATTTCACGAGCTCAACGCAAAAGGGTTAAATACCAAATAATAAATTTGACACAATCAAATAATACTATTCATACACTTAAATTGCTATATAGTGAATTGAAAATGACTCAAAAACCTCATAAATATTAATCAAACAAACTTTAGATATATGAAGTTTATAAAGAAGTAATGTAAAATAACATTTTAGGCCTACATTATATGCAAAAAAAAAAGTAACATCAGAGACTTGGCCACATACCAGACAAGCATGTTGGTAATATAAATAAAAATTAAATTATAGGAATTTAAAATTTTTAATTACCAAAAAATATGAATTTTAAGTTTGCTTCATCATAGTACCATGATATTATTTTGTTCTTTCTACAACTTTGAGAAGTCATCTTCAGTTTAATCATAATCTTCATAAACAATCATTGAATGATATATCAACTTGTACGGCACTCTATATAATCTTTCTTTTAGCTTTTAGAAGTGTGATATTAAGTAAATATTCTAAGAAATGGGTATGTATATAAAATTAATACTTTTATAATTAATTTAAAATGTTCTAGTTTTTCTGATATGACACTTTATGCTATTCAAACAATGACTGTAAAAAAACTGCATTTTAAAATAAACACGGGGTTAGTTACCAAGAAAAAAGAAACAGTAGATGTTAGCGCTAATCACATCAACTTTATATTCCTTCACTATTTACACCTAATATAAAATATTTAAAACTCACTCTGGGTTTTGAT